AATGCAACAGCACTCTACCCACTTCCTTCCTGGGCTTACCACGTGCCTTTGTCCCTCCTTCTCATCCCTTCCTGTCTTCCTAGCTCTATCCTTGGACAGATGTTGCTTTCTTGATCTTGTATGGTTGATTGTCCTAATAAGTGCATACTCTCCTGGTGGCACTGTTCACCTTACACTGTTCACCTCATTGGTCTGTTGATTGGCTGAAAGTTCAGCCACAGGGTTTGAGTTCAGTTCCCAACATGGAGGGTGTTTTTTTTTTCCCCATGATTTTGAGTTTTGTTCCGCATTTTTTTCCCACTCTATCTGGGATTTCCTGTTGTGATCCTTCTTAGAGCATTCAGTGGTGGTAGCCAGGCACCATCTAGTTCTGGTCTCAGGGTCAAGGAGGCTGAGTTTCACATTAGTCCTTTGGACTAATTATTTCCCTGTATCTTTGATTTTCTTCAGTCTTCTTTTGCTCTGGATGAGGAGAGACCAATTGTTGCACTTTAGATGGCTGCTTACAAGCTTTTAAGACCCCAGTCACTATTCACCAAAGTAGGATGTCTTTGTGGACTGTGTTATGTCAGTTGACATTCATGTCCCCTAATATTGAATGTTTTGGTCAAAGACCCAACAAATGGATGTTGATCAAAAGAAGGAAAAGTATGAAACAGAACTTCAAACTCACATGGAAACAAGATTTACTGGATTCATTGAAACTTGGGAAACCCCTGAAAATATGCCCAGCAATAAACGTTAAACCTTGAACTAAAACTATCACATGAAACTATCATTAAACTATAGTTTAGCCCAATTAATAAGAATGTTTGCCTTGATCGTAACACTCTTAGAAAGAATTATTTATATGACAACAGTTAATGTAAAGCACAGATGAGAATTTTAAGAGGCAGAGAGCCAAAATTAATGGTGATGAAATAATCTGGGTAGAGATAGAATGGTGATACAATGTGACCAATGTTATTAAACTATTCATGTAGAAATTGTGAATGTATGTATGTGTATATTGCAACCAAAAATAAATACTGAAAAAAAGAAATGCTCCTTGATATTTATGATGAGTTACCACCTTTAATAATGTATCATGGAATATTTCACATATATAAAAAGATATAAAAATAATAGAACAAGCCTTCATTTCGAGATCCGGCAAGATGGTGGACTAGGCAGAAAGACTGCACAGACCCTCTTCAACAAAGAAAAGGGAAACCAATTAACACAGACACGGAAGATAATCCTGGACCCCTGAGCCTTGAAGGGAAGGATAAAGAAGTGGACTAAACCCCAACTGGCAGAATAATTTGCATG